AGCCAAAAATCTTCATTTTAAGAAGAGATATTTTCCTGCATCGCCCACAACTGATCCTATTGTAATATAGCAATAATTGCTGCACATGTGTTAAAATAACTAACTATTTCTTTTCCCACTAAAAAGTTTCGGGTACCTGACGGGTATCTGGCGGCGCTGCTCCACTCACTAAAATGGCTGCCGCTATTATTCTTGGTTAACCAAAAAAGTGTGACAGTCGTTTCGCCCCTTCTCTGTATACTGGCGGACCTCTCGTATTTTAGCAGCATTTGGCCACTGAAACCGAAAAATGCAACACCCACCAATGGTTGGAGCCATTTCCAGCTGGCTAGACACAAGTAGCGTAAGGTAGTGACGCAGCTAGGTACCGTGGTAGGTGGAGAATCGGTACCTTCTACACTAGAAGGCAGAATAAATGTCCCTTTCTTGTTAGTTAACTTATCAAACAGTGGGTGGGTCTTCTGTTGGCGGATGGAGTCATCAGGTACCATGTACTAGCGTAATGATTCTGAGCAACATTAAAATATGAAGGCAGGAACGGAATAAATGGCTGATTCCGGAGAATTAACTTTTTAACTATGGAAGCCTCTTTCTCCTGCATCGCCAGAAGCAGATTCTGTCACATGGCAGTAATAGTTGTTGTAGATGTGCAATAAGTAAATAGCTAAATCCGACGGCCTGTTTCCACTGCTTAAAGTCTTAGATGATAAGTGGGTACTTAGCGGGCGCTTGACGGCAGCTAGAATGGCTGCTAACTACTAGTCTTAGTTAACGAAAAAGGGGACATTGGTTTCGCCTTTCTCTGTATCTGTATGGACCGTAAAGACAATAGCTATGAGGAGCAGAAATTGGATGTCAGTGGCTCATGGGCTTTTTGAGTAACAGCTTAGCTTCAGAGTGGATACATGTTATAGGCTTATAGTTGCCCTATTGGATTCTCCACCGGGCGTATTATATTGAATGAATGAATGCATCTGTATTATATAATATGTATTATAATAATATTAATATCGTTTTGATGTATACATACCATAACATCAGCTGGTCCCAAAAAAAAACGCAGGAAACTGGCGTGGCGCGTGTTTTCAAGTTGCTGCGCTGTTGTTATTTGCGATCGAAGTCGCTGGGTAAAGCACGGCAAGACCATGCCGGACATTGCAATCTTGCCAGGTGGAACTTGTTGTCGTCATGTTTGCACAGCCGTTCCATCGTGGAGACTGCTTGCTCCATCGCCACGCTTTGAGGGTCGCGCATCCCGCTGAATGTTCTACTGCCATGCTTCCCCGCCCTTATGAAACTACCGATTCCGCATAGGGTGTGGCTATTTCCGAATGGCTAGCGACCTGCGACGAGGAGGACCAAAGCAAGAATAGGCTCAACGGACGGTGGGGAAGAAAAGGGCAGAAAGAGCTGTAGGAAGAGAGCAAAATCTCGATCCTGTCTCAATTCAAGGTGAAACGCGATGGCTGACCAGCGGAATCGTCCAGCTAAGTTTGTTCAGCAGGAGATCTCGCAACAGCCCTTCTGGGTATATATTCATATAAGACCAAACAAATCTCCGATGCGCTGATTTATTTGTATCGTTGACATTGAATATGCGAGCTGCGAGTTTCTGCATCGTGTTCGGCCTTGCCGCTCCTATACTAAGCTCTCCAACGACTGCAGCGCAGCCCGCAACAGTTGGGCGTTGGCAGCCGCTGGAAAGTCAAAAAGTTTTGGATCTTGAAGTCGTATATGGAAAGGATGTGAAACAATTATTTAAGACGCCGTGGAATACTTGGGTGGCTACTGTGGACGTGATCTTTCCGGAGTCCACCTACACCGTACCATATATGGCTACACTGCCTACTGCCGCCATAGCGGCCTCTATCTCATGGTCGGCGACCTCTACTGACGCTGCCACCACTACAATGTTTCTAAAGGTTTCAGAATATGTCATATCGAACGATGCTGGGGTCAATTCGGCTGCTGTCACTTCTTCTTCTGACGCCATGCCAACAACAACCAGAACTTCCGGTGCAAGCTCTCCACCAAGTTTGACGTCCAGCACAACGCCAACTACAACGTCGACTTCAGTATCCGACCAAAGGCCGGAATCGGCACTAAGTTCAGCACAGAGCTCTACAGAAAGTGCATCAA